TCAGAAATTCAGTCCCACTCCAGAGAAACAATGAACCTCTTCGTTGAAAATTTCACAAATTTTGAGCTTCATTGTTATTCAAATTATTCAAATACTAATCATATGGCAACCAACATACTGCATTACATACTGAACCGTTTGCCCTTGAAAGAAAAGTATATTAGCGGTTAAATAATGTCCAATAATGACAAGTTTTAGTCTCTCCCTCCACCGAACTAACATTTATCCAATCACAGGTGAGTTTAGTAAAGGTGGCAACCAATGCAAGTTTAGCTATGAAATACTTTGGCACCAAGTGCACCATCAGTGACCACTTTAAAAAAAGGAAAAGTGTTGGCTGTGATTGACATTAAATAAAACTGTCTTTTTAGTAAAACGGTACTTAACGACTTTGGAAGGTAAGTGAAATTTCAATTAAATATTCAACCTTTTGTTTACATGAGAAACGCAAGTATGAGCATTACATTGCGTTTATGTAATAATCTTGCATTAAAAAGCTTACACCAAGAGATACAACTCAGAAACAACAATAATCCAGACATTTTTACCTACATTTCAAACTATTGACATCAGTTTGGTCGAAAATGGATAGCAGTCATACCAAATCTCTTCCACCATCCAAATTCCTTCCTCCATGACGTATTGCTCAGCCATTAGGCCGCAATTGTGATAATGCAGTTTCAAGGTACCCTGTACGTTTCAAGTTATGTCATAAGTTTCAAGTTAACCCATACTGCTGCAGCAAGCATTCAGATCAATAAAATACATTCATGGATATTTTCATTAATCGTTTACAACCAACATTTTATTAGACTATGCATATTTAAATCAATATGTTCACCCTTACCATTGCACCAAGAGTTCACATCAATAAAATACGTTTATGATTTTTTTTTAAAGTATGTTTTTATAATTTATTAAGGAGTCGTTTGCATTTAGCTTGAAAGTACAACAGATGTTTTATTAGATTAACTGCACCAGTAAGGGATAAAACATATCACTCAAGCTGAATGTACATTAACAATCTAATAAAACATTGGTTGTGCTATCAAGCTAAATATAAATGATTTCTTAACACTTAATTGAAATATGTTTACAGATGTTTGTGTTTTTATTACGTGAACACTTGCTGCAGCAGTAAGGGTTAACTTACAGGGTAACTTGAAACGGCATCATCACAATTGCGGCTTATTAGTTGCGTGATGCATCACAGGAATTCAAACGGCAGAAGAGGTTTGGCATGACAGGTGCCACTTCATGCTGGTGGAGTCACCATGTAAATAAACATTTACATCTCAGAAACTAAAGCAGCACAAACGACAATTTCAATGGCACAAACTGGCACAAATGCAGCACAAACAGCTGCAACAGGTTTGGTTGAAATCTGACAAATTGGAGGCCAACACGCAGGTTGCGCAGAGCTCCTAGGCCAGTTTGGGGCCAACCGAACGTATACATGCATGAATAAATCCACACTCTACCACATTACCTGGGTGCGTTAGTCTGATTGAGAAAATCGATTTAGTACAATTTAAGTCGGACAAACATGTTTGCATGCATTTAAAAAGTGTGGTTTTAGTCGTACTAACACAATAATTCGATATTTTCTAACATCATGTAAATGTACTGACTGATTAACACTACCCTGTTAAACTTATCCAAGCCTAAGAGATGAGTTTATGTTCCAAAACCTTTTAAAAATAGTTATTAAATCTGTTCTAAAGAAACCAAAATCTTGAACCTAGTGGTTTAGGAAATTACAGACCTATCCCAAATCTTCATTTCATTTCAAAGATCCTGGAAAAGGTTGTTCATTAGCTGTCTTTGTCTTTCCCACAGAAAAACAATGCTAATGAAGTATATCAGTCTGGCTTCAGACTGAACCATAGCACACACACACACTAGACCTAACTGTAGAATTTGATACTCTGGACCATAATATTCTTTTGGACCAGCAAGAATCTGTGGTTGGTATTAAGGGGACAGCTCTCACTTGGTTTTGCTCTTATTTAACCGATCATTATCAATTTGTCTATGTGAACAATGACTCTTCCAAAGCCCACTAACGTGAAATACGGTGTTCCACAGGGATCAGTGCTGGGCCCGCTTCTATTCACTTTATAAAAGCTACTACTTGGTAACATTAGAAATCATGGTGTTGGGCTCCATTGTTATGCAGTTAATCCAACTCATGCATCACAGCTTTCTGGGTTAGAAGGCACTGGATGGCAGAACATTTCCTTACTTTAAACCCAGAAAAAAACAGAGGTATTGCTAGTTGGACCCAAGGCTGCTTGAAATAAGTTTGACAACCTCAAGCTTGGGGGTCTTCCTACTCAGTTTAAAACAGTGATCAAGGATCTAGGCATCTTGGTTGATTCAAGTCTAGGTTTCGATGCTTGCATAAGAAATATTACTAGAACTGCGTTATACCATCTATGGAACATAGCCAAGCTTCGGAAGATGCACTTTTTTCATGATGCAGAAAAACGAATACATGCCTTTATAACTTCCAGACTGGACTACTGTAATGCCCTCCTTTCTGGTTGCCCATCTGGATCCTTACATAACATTACATATTAGCCTTGTTCTGTTCACCTTTCACTGGCTTCAAGTCAAGTCTCAGATTTAATAGCAATATTTTGTAGTCACTTATAAAGCACTGAATGGCCTTGAACCAGAACACTTAAGAGATCTACTGGTCTCTTACAACCCACCTTGCTTACTTGGCTCTCAAGGAGCAGGATATCTATTAGTACCTAGGGTAGAAAGAATTACAGCAGGCTGCAGAGCATTCTTTTAGAGCTCCACAGCTGTGGAATAGTCTTCCAGCTAATGTGCAGGATTCAGGCTGACTCTCAAAAGTCCAGACTAAAAACACATCTGTTTAGTCAAGCTTATATGGACTCTAATTCTAGCTCTAGCTAACTGCTCACTCCCAGTTAGGAGTACAGTGTGAGGTGTACAGCTGGGTGGGGATTGGTGCCATTGGCTTTTGATAAACTGAACTGTCAGTGCTGTCACTGCAGCGTCACACTCCCTTGTGAAAGTAGAGTGCTGACATTCAGGGACTCCCCATGTCTGCATTCCCACTTGCCTCTCCCTCTTACTTATGCTGCCATACCTATATCTGGCAGAGATCACATATTGTACTCACCTAACTGTTTGCACTCTAGTCTCTTCTATTTTGACTAATTGCAGTTTTAACAAGATATTCTGCCTACTCTGCTGCTTGCGACGCCTCTACTACCTGTGACATCTTTCCGGCCTGTTTGCCCTTCTGCCTGTGCCATCTATCCCGCATACCCTGCTGCCATCAAAAGCAGCACCAGCACCTGCCTGCCGTAACCTGCTTGTCCCTCCGCTTCGAGACTCAAATCTTAAAATTTGGACAGTGTGAATTGGGAGTTTGACATCTTGCTCATTTGACTTTCTCTGCCAGCCCCAGGAAGATGGGCTCCCCATTTGAGTCTCGTTTCTCCCAAGGTTTCATCCTTCTAGGGAGTTTTTCTTTGCCACTGTCACCCTTGGCTTGTTCACTGGGGGCTTTGGGAAGGGATAATGTGAAAATACTATACAAATAAAATTTAATTGAATTATTCATTTTGTACATACAAATATAACTTTCCAGCAGGACAAAATGGTAGAAATGAATGAATGAGCAGCTTTAAGTAGTTTATTTAAATCATGTAGTCATAATTTGTAATCATATCTTCCTCAAAATGAATTTGAGCGAGTCATCCATGTGTTTATTACATCCTGGTTAGACTACTGCTGTAATGCCTTATATTATGGGTTAGATCAGTTGTCCCTTCAATGCCTGCAGATGGACCAAAATGCAGCAGCATGCTTACTGACTGGAAAGCGAAAGCGTGACCATATCACTCCTGTACTGTAAGTAGATTTTATTACTTGTTTTTAAAACTCTTCAGGGGAATACACCTGCTTACTTGACTGAGCTGTTGCACCAACATGCTCCAGTCAGAAATGTTTTTTTATTGCTTCCCCACTCTGGCGAGAGTGGGACATGGAAGCATCAACATACACACTGAGGTCTTTCTCATAATCAGCTACCTTTATTTCAGTGGAACCCATAAAATACCTCTACTTTATATTTCTGCTCCCTGCATGGATTACCTTACATTTATCCTTTAAATTTCATCTGCCAGGTATCAGCCCAGTTGCTAATTAAATCAAGATCCCATTGTAGCCTCTGTGCTGCTTGTTCAGTATCTGCTACACCGCCCACCTTGGTGTCGTCTGCAAATTTAACCAGTTTACTGTATGTATTGGTGTCAGTATCATTAATGTAAATTAGGATCAATAGTGGTCCTAAAATTGAACCCTGTGGTACTGCACTATGAATGCAGGTTCACTGTAACATTGTGCCTCTAATAACTACTCACTGCTTCCTGTCTGTTAAGCAGTTTTTGATCCAAGCTGCTACAGTTCCTAAAATCCCTGCAGCTTTGAGCTTTAGCAAGAGCAGTTTGTGGGGGACAACATCAAAGGCCTTCTGGAAATCTAAGTAGATCACATCATAGGCCTTTTTGTGATCAATCTCTCTGGTAGCTTCCTCAAAGAACTCAAGTAGATTAGATAAGCAGGATCTACCTCTCCTAAATCCATGTTGGCTATCCCTCAGAATGTTAGAGCTGCTGAGACCCTCGAATGTTTTAAGTCTTTGCTTAAGACTCATTTATTTCAGTTGGCTTTTAATCCCAGTTGTGAATGATAATTATAAATTATATAGTTTAGTTAAAGCAATTTATCTTTAATATGTTGCGGTGTATTTATTATATGTAAAGCACTTTGGGACAGTAAGTGGTTTTCTGTAAATGTGCTATATAAATGAACATGAACTTGAAAAAGTGAAGTCAATTAGCATAGGTAATCTCCACTTGGATTCTGCATTTGAATTTGTTACTTTGAATCGATCATTTTCCATTGTCTGTCCGTGTGATATATAGGGGCAGGGAGTATGCACGTAGCTGACTTACCGGAGCCTTCTTGTCGATGGGCTTGATAACAAACTTCTTATCGTTGAAAGAAATATTTCTAATCTCACTCCAGGGAAAGCCTATTTTTGGTGTTAATCTGCAACACAGAAATTCACATCCTCAATGTCTGACCAGTATACTGGCGAAGTCGTCAAAACTGGTTTCAAAAGGCAATATTTATGTCAAATGCAACATTCCATATACACACAATTTTTTATCTAAAAACTACAACTAAATATGAAATAGCATGAAAAGCTATGAAACAGGCAAAACTTTAATACTTGCAGGCTTTTCATTCTGGTAGAATTTGAATAACATCACAGTAGCTGCAACAATTAATCTTCACGAAAGATTACTGCCCTGTGTTCTCAATGATTATATATGAACAATGCCACTCATGGTTGCCCATTAAATCATTTTGAATTTGTTGATTAAAACTATTCAAACTAACCGATTTGCTTAATTATACTAACTTCCATATAGTGTGCACATTCTATTGTCTAAGGTCAATACATTTAGCATCATTATTTGGAAATACACCATAGATGTGACTATTAGGGACACTATTCCTCCAGGGATAGAATATAAGTATTTTATATTAATAACCTCAGCATTTCATTACTGAATTTATCATTTCATAACACACAAATTACATTACACTGCAACTGTTGAACCCAAAGATAAAGTGATTTTTTTCTTATTTTGTGATGACCATACAATACTGGCATAACTTAGTGCACGTTCCTGATTGCAGCGGAAAAACAGGAGGAAAAGCAGCTTCATTAAAAAGGGCCAGCAGATGGCGACTGTCTTAAGGATTTCTGGTTTAGCCAGAGCATCTAGATGACACAATTTGCATTGTTTTCCCAAAACGCCACCTCCCACCACCCCACATGTATAGGAAATAAGAACAGACCAGTGGCTTATTCAGTTACCAGCAGAGCGCCACCACAGCAGAAAACTGCTGTATATGCATGCATTTCCCACTCATTTTAAACTCCCCTCCCTAAAAGAGGACTCAGAGGAAATTGGTTCATTCGTAAACATTAGAACAATGAAAGTCTGTTCACCAAATGCAACCGACTGAGAATTTATACCATCCCCCCTGCACAATACAGAGGTGGTATTCGCAGACTTGCCAGAGAGACAAATTTGACCTTTCCCTTCTTGATGTATAACAACTCAATATAGCCTCTCAAGAAGATTGTGCTAAAAGATGTACAGTACGCGTGTGGCTTGCAAAATTACAGATACAGCTATGTTAATATGTATTCTGACACCGCATTTGGTAACAGAGGTCAAAGGAACACCGTTGTGGTTTACACAATGTAGCAATACAGCTTAAATCACACAAAGACCTACACACTGGGACTCACACTAATGCTAGACAGCAGAGTGCATCTGTCCTACAAGAGAATGTAATATTCAGTCGCATGCCATCATCTGTTAATGGTTATTAGTGTGTGTGTGTGGTTTTGGGGGGTGGGGGGTACTCACTTGTCGCTATGCTCGTAGATGTTAAGCCCCAGGGCATCAACACCCAACCACAGCTCTGTCCCTTTTTTGTTCTTGATCTCAAAGTAGTTCACGCCATACATCTCCAGATCCTGCGCTATCTTCAGGTACTCCATCATGGAGTCCTCTCTGAAAGAAGAGCAGCCTCAGTTAATAATCCAAATCCATATATCCATAAAGTTTTCACGCTATACAAACATGCCATGTGTGTTACAAGTCCAGAAATTCTTACTAAATTTCATCAAGTGGTTTGATATTTAAAAATCCACTTTGGGAGCAGGAAATTGCAGGGATACTACTCTGTTCACAAGCTGAATAGCTGACCTGGGAGTATTCACCAACTGAGAATAAATGATTTTGTACTGGTTCCTTGAGCCTCCAGCAACTAGGACTCTAGGAAAGTTCTGCAATCTTTAACGGATTAATGAGTTGGTCTGACAGAGTGGGGGCAAGTGAACATTGCCATTCTATATTTCACCCTGAAAGTATGCAAGGGTGTGTGTGGACACAAGAGACTGACTAGCCCTACTTTACAGCTCTCTCACACACACTCATACAAAAAGACTCCTACCTAAGCATGCCCCTGTGCTCCTCATGCCATGTCTGTATCCTCTCTTCCCACTGTTCCTTGGTGAGCTTATGCTGTTCCAGAACTCTGCAGAACAGAACCACACAGTAGGCCTGAAGCGGAATATGCACTATAGGGCACATAATGAGAAAATCATAACCATGCATCCCATTTGCTGTGCTGCTCACTACTGCTGTAAAAAAAGACAATTGTCAAAACAATAAATGCTATTTTTAATGAGTATACCGTAAAAGCCACCATCAGTCTGGGGATCATTTTATTCTTGACTGTGTTTGAGTGGCATCTCAGGGCGGCCGATTGCGATAAAGGAGGGCTAAAGGATTAGTGTGAAATTTCTTTTTTTTTTTTTTTTTTTTACATCAGGTCAAGACACTTTCCATCCAAATTAACTTACTTATGAATTAAGAGGATTTACGAAAACAAGAAACCGCACATCATGCGAGAAGAATATTGAAATTTCAAAAGCCCCAGGGCTCTCACCTCTGGGGTAGCAGCCGGTCATTGGAGAGGTAGCCAGGCTTGTGAACCTCCTTGTTAAAGTCACCATATTTGGCTTGGACAGAATACGAGGCCAACAGCACTGCCGTCTCAGGGGGACAGTAATTCTCATCATTCAGGATAGCCTCCTTCACCTAAGAGCGAGCAGAAATGCAAGAATGGTACATAATTTAAAGGATCTGGTCCTAAAATGTTGGGACAGAAGCTACTATCCAAGTCAGCCATCAAAAGGTCCCCAAACACCATCAACCTGCAGGAAGAAGAGCCGTTGTGTGATCTCCTGTATCAGCTCCTCTGACACATCCTCTGGGAAAAACTTGGCCCGGAATTTAAACTGGAGTGGGTTTTCCTTCTTCACATCCTGTTGGATTACCTGGAAAGCAAAGCAGGAGACTGTGACAATGATCACATCAATGGGTTAACATCCATGCCAGGCCAGTTCCAGAAACTCTGGCCACAGTAATGTTCTGCCCAGTACCCGTTCTCAGGTCTTATCCAGCCAATTAGACAGCGGAGGTGATCAACTCACAAGACCAGGAGCGAAGTGACTGACCAATTAAAACTCACCTTCTTGTTAAGCTTGAGCCATGTGCTGTACCCCTTGCTGTCGACATACTGCAGGCCAAAGAACCATACCTCACGCAGGCCCACTGTCTTCACAACCTACCCAGGAGAGAAGAGATCATCCAGAACTTAGGACTTAAGCAGAACCACAGCATGAAAGGGTCAGTTTTTACATTACTCAGTCAAGTGGTGGAACACGAACAACACAATTCCCACATCAGTAAGGGAATTAAAATTGTTTCTCCTTCCATAGAAGAGTTTCACTTAAGGAATGCTCCAGATTTTTTATTATAGCAGATCTTTGAAATTGTGTGGACAAGGCTGGCTATGTTGAATTTTGAGACTCAAAAGAATCAAAACCATACCCAAAAGTACAATTTCAGCTGCTGTGGTTTACAAGACTGAAGCCTGGATACACTCATCAGTTCATGGATTCCATCACAATCACCCTGAAGCAGCTTGGCACTGCTGCAGTGTGACTGTGACATCATTCATTGTTATTTCCTATTCATTTTGCGTGCATCTCACTCGCTCAGTCACATGACTGCAAAGTTAATGAAAATCTTTCAACTGTATTGACCTTTATTTCCTCACACACTCAAGTATGATATCTTGAAATGTCACAATTGAACAAGATGTTTTTAAAATGCAAAACAGTACAAGAACTGGAGTTTTAGACTAATGAACCCCTGTTTATGCCACTCCAAATTCTGATATCTGCAGACAAATTGCAACAGACAAAAATATCAAGCAACTAGAGGGGCACCTAATGGAATCTGTCTTGGTTACCTGTTCTTACAAAAAGTTTTGCAAACAGTATGCAACAGCACAATGATCTCTTAAGAGGGCTATAGTCTAAGCCAATTCTGTCAGTTCAATAGGTGTCCAAAACCAATTTGTCATGATGATTTTGGTGTACAGTGTATTCTAAATTACATCACTGTGTGGGTCTGAATTAGCACGTTATTAGGGTATTCAGGGTACAACCAAGTCACCAGTAATGCCCCATAGAGATTGTAACAGCAGGGTTTCCATGAAACATTATTTCCAGATAAACAGCAACAAATGAAGCCTTACTGATTCACGAAGAAGTCTTGATTTCTTCCCTTAGAAAAACCACCCATCTGAGCAAACTCAAAGTAACAACTGGGAAACTTGAGCATTTACAGTGTAAACTGGGAGGGTGTTATGTGCTGGTAAGGAGGTCCCAGCAGAGCACAGGGTTCATTAAATGAGCCATTTATTGCAGGTGTTTGCAGCAAGGTCCTGGGAGCCCTTGTTTTCCAGCTATGAGCAGAAAACACCGAGGGCGCTTTTCCACCGCACAAAGTACGGTACTTTCGCTTTTCCATTGACTTCCGGTCGAGTACCAGTACCGAAATCTCGAGTACCAAAAGTGCCAAACCAGTTGGGGTACTTCTTTGGTACTTCGGTACTTTGGGGTGGGACTTGCAAACGTATTTGCTGTCGATTGGTTATGCAAATAGCCTGCCGCTGAAACACAAAATACAACCGCCATCTTTTGAAATACACAGCGAGAAACAAAATAA